ACCCCCCTCGCTGACCGTTCAGCACTGGTCATTGAGGGAATGTATCTCCCTTCCTCGATGGCCGTTCAGAACTGGTCATCGAGAGGAATACTTACTCACCTCAATGACCAACTCTGAACCAGTCATCCAGAGGGGTACTCATTCCCTTCAATGACCGGTTCAGAACCACTGTTCATTAGAGGACCGGTGTTTAATTAGCTCACCTTTCATGTATTCCGGCCAAAAACGGACCGGTCCAAAAACAACTGGTCTGTACGGTCATTGGGATTATATGTGCACCGCCTTTGATGACCAACTCAGACCGATAATTGAAGGGATTGCCCATTCTCTTTGATGGCCAAGTCTGACTGCTCATGAAAGGGAGTATGTACTCCCATCGATGACCGGTGATGACCGGTCATAGAGGGTACCCCCACCAATGACCGATCTGAACCAGCCATCGGAGGGAGTACTCTCCTCACCGGGTAATTCTTAGTGAATCAGCATCCGCCCGGGAGTAGGACCGTACCGGGCTGATGCAGTGTTGGTTTGTCGGAATGAGATGGCAAAAGGTATTATGCAACTATGCATGTATGGGTATCTGATCCAGCACTTACGTTTCAAATTTTAGAATGTTAAAATACAGAAATCTGTATTTTGAATGGAATACAGAATTCTGTATTTTCAAAAAGTCATTTTTCATTTTTCAAAATGGTGAGCTGATTGGTGTCCCCTGTGGGCTTCCGTATACAGCCATAACGAGAAAGCTTGCGCTTTCGCCAGCCAGAAATTCCGCCAAAAAAATAAAAATAAAAAAAACCCTCGGATGCCGCAGGAATGTTTGGAAGAATACATATCCTGTAATCTTCTGAACATTCCTGCGGCTTCCCTCTCTCAACCGACCCATGCTCCGACCTCGCCCACGAAACCCTGCCGCCCCATCCGCCCATCCCACCCAGGCCCATTTCCATCTTTTTCCACCCACCCAGGCCCCATTTGAAACCGAATCATCAACCGAATCATCAACCGCTGTTCCGACCCCTTCCGATCACTTGTACGGCTGTTACTAATCCGCTAGGATTTTTCTGATCTGTTTGTGTAAGTCCATATCATGTGTAGTTTACTCCTTGTGTTGGTTCATGATTGACGGGTGCCCCTATTCCTTTGCGACAGGCTATGACGCCATTGAAGCACCTCAACAACCTGGACTTAGATGATATGCTCCCCGAGCTGCCCTTCTCAAATGTAGAGGGCGGCAGCCAGAAGGACTACTTACGTCCGCCCCGCCCAACGATGGAGTCTTTGGATAACCAGCAGTCGTGCATGGAACCATCGCAGCGATCTCACTCGGCTCCCAGGGCAACGAGGGTCTTCACTGAAAACCCAACGACTGAATCGCAACTAGCGGCCGCTGGAGGTAACTCGACTCGACTGTCATCAACCTCCGGATCAACCATCGCCAACAACGGGAATATCCGACCGATTGCAATTGATTATGTCCTTTTCAACCGGACTACTACGAAGCAAATTGCCGAGGTCGTACCATCTCGATCCAAGGGCGCTGCATTGACCCCAAACAAGGAGTGGGAGCGGATCGTCCCGCACTTTGATACCGTCTGGAAGGCTGCGCTTGAGGTCTGGTCGTGGCCGCAGGCTCAACAGTGTATCATCACCCTACTCGGCGAGGGCCGTGAGAACATTGACAAACACATTAGGGCACTTGAGGAGGCCGGCCTCCTCAAGTGGCAGTGCATCTTGGCTAACCACGGGACGTATGGGAGCGGGAAGCTCTACTACGTCTATTCAGACGAGGATTTTGCTCCGTTTGTTGCGGCAATGGTCCTCAAGCCCAAGTCCAAGGTCACCATCAAGATCTTAATGACCGACCCCCGCAGGAGTGCCAAGGATAAGGAATCCGTAAGTGGGATGTGTGCCTTCTGGACGGTTGGGATGAACTGATTTGACTCGGAGTTATTTGGTCACCTGAACCCATAGGAAAAATCGGAAAACGACAGCCTGGCCATGAGCTATGCTCCCGATGACGAGCGTCTGGCTTTGCAAAAGGTCCAAACTCGGTTGGCCCTCAACGTAAGTCTTTAATGCTGCCGACATCAGATGCATTTTGACTGATGATGGGATTCCTTTTCCCAGCCAAAATGCGATATGGAGTCAGCGGCCCGCACCAGGTACATCGTCTCGATCACCGAGAAGATCCTCGCAACTTACGGAGGCAACGCGGAGTCATTGAGGATCAAAGACCCAGATGATCCCATGCGATCCATCCGCGTCACCCGGAACGCCCTGTTCGATTGGAGTCGAGCGCTCGTCCATGACGCCAAGGGGGTGACCGAGGAGATTCCACCTGATACTGCGGCTTTTGTCTCTGAGCCCATGCGGATTTACACACTGGCGGAACAGGAGGCAAACAATCACAATCAAGTCCGCCCCAGCAGCCGCCGATCGTTGGGAAAGGGGACACCCGGGCAACCGAAATTCACCCCCGCCCAAGTTACTTCGACCGGCCGTGTGAGACCTCCTCGCATTGCGTCTTTTGGGGATCTAGCTGATGTGTCCCCATCGGTCCCGGTGACCCCGCTGGCGGGCGATAGACAACCCAACGCGGGAGACGATCTGGGGTCATGTACCGACGACATGAACACACCGGCGTCGTCGTGGGGGGGGAATGCGTTCATGGACCTCGATAACATGGACCTACCTGATGGGACCGAAACCGGTTTGCCTATCAGGAGTTCCAGCACGGACCTCGAGGTTCTCCCTGGCGATGGGTTACATGGCGTCGACCGGTCCCCAGCGCGGAAGATTCCTCGAAGCCCTGCGGGGCCCGGGCCGGCATACGCAATCAGCAGGCTCAATTTTAATATGCGCGCCAACCCAAGGGTCATATCTTCGACCTCGCCAACGCGGAAGATCGCCGGGTCTAACGGGTCCTCGAGTGTCACATCCGGACCTCCTGACCTCTCATCTGGAAGTGTCCATTCGTCGGCGCCGGCCCTCTCGCGCGGTTTGGACGGGGAGCCTTTGATCCCATGCCACCGGGATCTTCCCCCATTGAACGACGCCGGCCGGTCCCTTGGGATGGAAGAATTCCTGACCCTATGTAACTTTACGGCCAACGATATGGTTCCCCGCGGCTTGATAGGGTTAAATCACATCCGCCACTGGGATTTTTTCTACCGGGACACTGATGTGGTCCAACTCCAGCGCATGGGATTCCCATATCCGATCGCCGCTCAAATAATGAATGGTGCCGAAGCGTTAGGCATCACTCATACTATGGCCGACGACCACTCGACCCCGACCCCGGCTGATAGCATGCCTCATGACTCGGTGACCCCAGATGCCGACACTCAGAGTTCGGATGCACCAGCGGCCGACGCCTCAGGAATCCAAGCGTCCCCCGAGTACTAGGAGCGGCCGCGTGGGCAAGGTAATGTATGAATCCTATGCCACACGATGTCTGTGAAACCCCGTAATCCTTGTCAGGTTGTTTGGCCACCGGGTAGTCTTTGTCTTCCGCCTATTCTCTCCCAATGATTGTCTGCTTTCAATTCTTCATTGTTTCCGTCTACATTCGTGAGATGGCCCTCACTGCTTGTTTTCTTCCGTCTCCATGCTTGAGATTGCCGTAGAATGTACGCTTGATTCTTGGCCGCCCGCGAGTTTTCCTACCAATCGTATCTAACACGTTGGCTGCCAGCTATTGCATCCCAAAAATCACTTGCCAGAATGAGTGCAGCTCATGCCAGAAAGGTTCAGCAGTCACTGCTGGGGAGGACTTAGCCAAAAAAAACAGCAGTCACTGCTGGTGAGGACTTAGGCAAAAAAAACAGCAGTCGAGGACTTAGCCAAAAAAAATCAGCAGTCACCGGCTGGGGAGGACTTAGCCGAAAAAAAACAGCAGTCACTGCTGGTGAGGACTTAAAAAAAAAACAGCAGTCGAGGACTTAGCCAAACAAAACCAGCAGTCACCGCCTGGGGCGGACTTAGCCAAAAAGAATCGGCAGTCACTGCTGGGGAAGACTTAGCCAAAAAAAGGGAGGACTCATCACCCCGGGGGCCAGACTTAGGCAACCCTCTGAGGTGCCACGGTGTCGCGTGAACAGCAGGGTTCAGTGTTGCGATGTCAAGTTGGGCAACCCCTGAACTCAAGCGACATCGTCAGGTTGCAGGCGCACCCCAACAATTAAATTGATGCAGACCGGTGAGCAATCGCTCACATGAGCATATCATAACAAGGGGGGCACAGGCCAATGAGATAGGATTAATATTCAAGAGACCGGAAAAGTAAATCAAGGAGACGTGAAAAGGCAATCAAGGGGAATGAAAAGGAAATCAAGGGACACCATTGCGCAGGTCATAAGTGGTTTGGCACAATGGAACTACCAGACCGTATTCCTTCTCCAGGGGGGGGGGGGGGGCGCTTGGTAAGTGGCGACGGAAACGAGGGAGCAAACTCAAAAATCAGGAAATATGAGTTGCCCAAGCGGATCCAGGGGCCGAACGAATCGACCGTTGCTCGAATCCCCCGGCATCCCCTCTTGAGACCTAAGCAGAATACCCGCTGCCATAAAAAAGCCCTTCCATTAGGCGAGGGGTCACGAGCGTCGCCAAGAAATCCATGATTATCTCGGGGTCATACCGCGTGCCGGTCAAAATCTGAG